CGCTTATCCACTGTCACTTTTTGTGCATATTGGGCCCAACTACTGAACTGACTGAAATATAAAATCCACATTTATTAACTGTGGTTCTTACAAAAATATTTTATAAAATAAAAAGTAAAAATGGCTCCTAAAGCTCTGATCAATTACTGCACAGTCTGCAAAGAAAAGAATTTAACTTGACCATTTTTATAACCACATTATACCATCAACATAAAGTGAAGCATAAGCTTTATCAACACTAGTAGACTTAGTTTGCAATCAACACAAAAACAATGTCAGCATGTTTCAACTCCCTGATTATCAGTTCTTAATGGAAAGATCAATTTTCCACTTGAAATTAAAGTGCAGTGTTTGAAATACAATCAAAGAAATAAGGCTGGATTTCTTATCAAACTTAGTGTCACTGTGCTATCTAAAATAACAAAATAAATAATCCCAAATTATCAGGTCATCAATATAAAATGCAGCGTACACCAAAACTAACACATGCACTGCACTGTTCAACACTGCTCTGCTCATTTTATCATTATGTTCTTTTGCAAGAAGATCAATTTGTCCACATTCTCTGCCAAGAGACGAAATCTACTTGCAGTGACGATGTCCCCTGCGGTTGAAAAAACTCGCTCACTTGGTACAGATGTACCTGGGACTGCAAGGTAGCGTCGTGCTAACTTAGCAATGTGAGGATACTTATGCTCGTTGCTTTTCCACCAAGCAAGTGGATCTGCATCCACGGAAATGCAGCCTGTGACCTTGTATGTTGAGACTTCCTCCTGAATGATGTGGGACAAAGGCTTGGTGGTTCTCTCCTCTGTTGTAAAGAGCTCTCCAAAAAGCTCTGCTATGGCAGATTTTTTCTGGGGAGGAGATGACATCCCTGATGCCTGTGGCTCTCAAGATGAGGATTAGCTGGCCATCTGGGATTCTCTGGGTTGACCCTGCATGATAAAATGACAAATAGCACAGTTGTTTTAAAAGTATTGATAACAACAAACGCTTTCATACAACATGATTGAGCTAAATGGAGTAGTTTCATGTCATATCCAACAACGGGAGGCTTTTAACAGATGACGTCCTGATGTTAGCTTTGATGCTGCTGTTAGCTGATGCTTTCTAGACATCGTGATTTCCCATAACTGAATAAATACCACACATATCAACACAAAACTGCTTTACTAGCTCAATCATGTTGTAACTAAGATATCCGCTGGAAAAAATATTTTTTTCACGGGCCATTTAGTGAGTTTTTTTTAGATGGTGGCGGAAGCTATATGAACGAGCTAACCCTCGTCTGCTGAGTTTTAAAAATGCCGGCTATTTTGTTGCTTTCTGTTGTCGTCACATCCCTCCTTGAGTATATCCAATCAGCACCAAGTAAACCCCAAGCCCCAACCAGGAGTCTTTCAGGGCCGTTCTGAGTACCTACCCCGAGGCAGGGACTTGTTTAGCCCCTGTAAAAGTTCCGTAACTTTGTCCTTCGGGGGTGGTTCCTGCGGTGGAGACACGCACCAACGGCCCCGGCCCCGTAAAATTGCCCCGAAGTTCCTGTGGTGGAAACAGGCCTCTTGACATTCTTCTTAACATCCTTGTCCATCAGGGCAGAATAGATGGCAGCCTGTTGTTCCACATAACACTTCAGCATGTCATACGTTGTGTTCCAACGTGTGGTGACATCATGTATTAGCTTGTGAACTGGCAATTCCAGTATCACCTGTTTGTTTTTTAGGGCATAGCTGGCTGTTGTACTCCAATGGAAAAATGTTACCACCTTTCTGATTTTTCCGAGGAGTCGGGATACCTGATTTACTGAGACTGCATTCTTGGCTGCAAGATTAACAGTATGTGCAAAGCAGCCAATGTGTGGCCCCAGTCCAACTGTTGCATTGACTGCATTCACAATATTTTTTGCATTGTCTATAGTAACAGGAATTGTGCTGCTGCCCCTCGCCAACTTCCATTCTGTCACTGTTTCTGTCAGTGCTTCAGAGAGATGCTGGCTTGTATGGCTCTCATACAGGGGGCGGGTCTGTAAAACGGAGCTTTTCATCTCCCACTCTGAGTTGATGTGATGGACAGTTACAGTCAGGAAACTTTCAGTAGCCCTAGAAGTCCATCCATCAGTAGTAAGAGCTACATAGGCTGTGTCAGACAACTCTTTCACAATTTCTCTTCGTGTCTCTTCATAAAGTGCGTGAATTATTGTGTCGCTTAAGTGTTTGTGGGAGGGGACTTTATATGGTGGCTCAACTGCTTTTAACATACGCTGAAATCCAACACCCTCCACCATGGCATAAGGCTGCATATCTTTGGCTATGAACTACCCCAATGCTTCAGTTATGGCTTTTGCTTTGTCTGACTTTTCATTTAACAGCTGTTTAAAAGCCGCGGGGAGTAGAAGTTGTTCCGTACCCGACACTCCCCTCTTTGAGCTGCTGTTGAGTGACGGGATGACGTCTCCGTATATGAGCTGACATGTTGGACGTGTTGCCGGCAGCATAAACAACACGCGTTGCACAGTGCTTGCACACAGTTGCACTTTTATCCACGACTTTCTCACCGCCATCATAGGACACACTAAATCCAAAATGCTCCCATACTGCAGACCGACACACTCCTGCTGGTGCATCTTCTATCTCTGAGTCATTAACGTTACGGTTTTCTCCGCTTGCCATGTCCACAAATACGCCTCCACAACATGCATGCTACACTCCTTCTTCTTATGGCGGTTGGCCAGCAACTATATGGTGCATTCCGCCCCCTTCTGGGCAGGAGTGTCACTGCTACTACTACCCTGCACCTCCGTATGAAAAAAAAGAAAAAGTTGCGCATGCTCATGAACCGAATGACACACACACTCTGAACCGAAACAGTAGAACCGAACGGTTCGGGTTTTTTTCATGAACCGTTCCATCCCTAGCACAAATGTACTGTATGTATTTAGTCCTAAAGAGCCGTTCTGGTGCCAGTAGATACATAGAAACATCCCAGCAGGCTGTGCTTTGCAAGCATACGTGAAAAAAAAATTTCATGCGTGTGCTTCACCTCCGCTGCTACAACTCCATCCTAGGGGAAACACTGCCGTGTGCGTTTTGTGCAACAGGTGGATGCAGTAGTCTACCGGTAGAGTAGAGAGAGAGAGGTAAGTAGCGTTGAAGTAGAGTAGAGGAGGGCAGAGAGATGGAAGCAAAATATATTAAACCTGGTGTTAATACAGCAGAACTGGAGAGAGGGGTGAAAAATAAATGGAGGTGGGCATGGCTGGAGGAGGGCGCAAAATTACAGACAGACCTCTTCCGAGGACGATTGACAAAGATTGTCGCTGTGCAAAAGATGTCGCGCCCCCCCCCCCACTCTCCAGGTTTCAGGTTTCAGGCTCAGGAAAATTTTTCACTTTAAGCCCTGTGTTACATTTTTGTGTCTCTTCCTCTCTGTCTGCTCTGGGTCTTTTAGAGGTTTTTGCAGAGGCCCAGTTGGGATAGCCACAGGTTCGAAGTGCTTCCCTGATGTGTTTCTGTTCCTTCGCTTTACCCTCTGTCCTAGTGGCCATGTTTTCAGCCCGATGATTCAGTGTCCTGACAACTGCCAACTCCCAGGACTTCCTGTCCTGTTCAATGTGCACTTCACAGTCTAAGAAGGGTAGACTGTCTCCTCTGACATCCTTCCATGTGAATTTAATGTTGGGATCCACTGCATTAATGTGTTCCATAAAGGTTTCCACTTCTTTAGTTTTGATTTTGACCCAGGTGTCATCCTGAACCAGTGGCTAGGAGCTGTTCCTGTAAAGGTTTGCCACTATAGGAGACACCGGTCAGCCCATTATAGCACAGCCGTGCTTTTGTCGGCAGAAACCCTCGCTAAACTTGAAGTAGGTAGTGGTCAAACAAAGGTCCAGCAGGTCACAAATGTGGTCTGGGGTGAAGTTGGTCCTGTCTGGAAAGGAGCTGTCTTGTAGCAGACGTTTCCTCACTGTCTCAACTGCTTCTGTAAGTGTTACACCATACGACAAGACCTCAAAGAGATACAGGGAAATCACAGAATCCATAACAAACTATAATAACAAATTAAAAATTGAGCAATTTTGCTCAGCCGACTTGACATGCTGCTGTGTTGTGCAATGGCCTATTCACATGCTGGAATTTGTCATTTACGTGACAATGCCTGAACGCAACACAGGCTGAGTGTGTGTACAATGCCGTGCTGCGCTGCTGTGCAAGAGCCATGTTTGACTGTGCGTAACAGCAGTCTGTTGATGGTCATTTACACACTGTCCATAACAATAACTATGTCAGGTCAGGTCAGTGCCCCCCTAATATAATGCAGGGGAAACACTGAATCAAGCAAGAGGACTCATGATGCCATTTATTTATTATATTGTAATTGCAATCGCAAATCGCGATATTGTCCATCAAAATCGCAATCACACATTTTTATCAAATCGTGCAGCACTAATTCAAAGTAAGCAAATCGTTTTGTACATCAGTCAGTATTTATCTTAATTAGCTGTCATTTTCATCACACATCATTTGACTGATCAAATCAGAGAACCCGCCTAATCCTACATCATATAAAAGGGCTATTGTTGAGGTGTGCTTCCTCTTTAAGCACCAGCACAAGATGGCCTCCACAAAGGACCCAAAGCCGGACAGGTTATGGCTTAGATCATTGCATATCTTTAGTACATTCTTAACAAAAACTTGCATCTAAAAATTCTAATGCTTAGTACTATTGTTTGAGTTTCTCAGTTAATACTGAAACCATAAATTAAACAAAGAAAATTGTGTGTGAGAGTCTGTCCACCTTTCCTAACAAATAGGGTTTAGCAAAAGTTAGTGAGGGAGTTTGTGCTTCCTCACAGAAGGTAAGATTCTCCTTCCAATTCCTTTTTTTTTTTTTCAGTGCACATGGTATGATAACCTGTAATTTTCATACCATGGTATACCTTCAAGGCAATATATTGCTGTAACACTCCTGTTTAATGAGTATGTCCTATCTGTTTGCAGAACTTCAGAATTGACATAGTGCATCTGGATGAGAACAGTATGGAGTTTGACATGGTGGGGATAGATGCAGCCATCGCCAATGCCTTCAGAAGGATCTTACTAGCAGAGGTAGGATTTGCATTCGTCTTATATCCATACAGCCATGTAATGTTGTCATAAATAGGGCTGGGCAATAAAACAATCTCAATAAAGGAATCGCAATAACATGTATGTTGATAACAATGATAAACTTTGGACATTTTCCTCGATATGAATAGATATAACAGCCTAGCACACAGCAGAAATAAACGAGACAACAGCCAGTCACTGTGCTGCCACTTTAGCGCAGAGCCCACACAAAGGAGACAGGATAATCAATTTGTCAAACACATGTTGAACGAGCAGAATACAAACTGGAAAACGTTATTTTTGGCCATTCTGCCTGCAGTAACCTGCTGCTAACACCATGTCCATTATATGGAAGTCAAAAGCAGCAAAGCACAGATTAAGGCAGTCCGCAAAGTATGCAGTCAGTCATTGCCAGTTAAAACAGGAAATGTGACAAAGTGAAAGTTTCAGATATAACATAGGTTCTATGAATTTAGAATGGTCCCATCCCAGTGACCACACCATTATTTTAGTATGTTACAAGAGATGATATATTGTATTTTGTAAGGCAGATAAATCACGTTTGCAAAGTTAAATGTTTACGTTTAGACGTTATTCAAGATGTAATTTTTAGGGATGTGCTATATGTATTTTTTCCAGCCGATACTGATAACCTATAATTACCTACTTCTCATGGCCGACTCCGATAAGATAACCGATAATTTCAAATTTTTGTATTTTCTAAAAGAAGTTCATAATTAGTAGTTTCTGCACACCTGAGAGTAAGAAAGGCTAGGTTGTAGCAAGCAAAGGTGGATGATTTAATATTCCATAGATCTGACTGAACCAAATCTAACTGACATCACTACAAAACAAACAACAGTTCTCAATCAAGGCTTCCCCTCCACCCAGAGATATATCTCTATTGGAGACCTGAACTCTTGGGTCAGGTGACGTGGATAATTTCTATAAGACAATCCACTTGTGGTCATGGCTGACAGCCTATATAAACCCCTGTCAACCACGCCCCCAGTGATTTTTCTGATTCCACTTGGAGCAGCGTGGCGTGTGTCGCTGTGCTTCTTTGAGACAATTCTATCTTCTATCTTTCTACAAAAAGAAAACTTTTGTTTAGCAAGGCTAACAAATACACAGTCCGTGCCGCTTACCTCACGGGGGTTTGAGAGAGGGTGATCACCTCTCACAGTGGCTGTGTTGTGCTTTGCAAATACCGTCCTTGCTGTCGCACTCTCGGTGTTGGCATATTGTCTCTGTGGAGAGGCTTCCGTGCCGGATAACACTAGGGTCTTTATCCCGGTCCCGTTTGGGCGAGGGGAGAAGGATCTGTGAGTTTGTTGATAGTGGGGGGCTTCTGTCAGATCCAGTGTCAAGCGTGTTGTTCCCGTGCAGGGATTTTCTTCACGTTACAGACACAGAACTCTCTTCTTTGTCCACTGGGGCGTTGAGAAGGAGTTCGTGGGTTATTAAGGTTGCTGCCTGTCCCTTTGTTTGTACATTGCAACATTTACACACAATACCTTCCACAATCCCACAGTTTTGCCGGTAAAAGTTTGGCAGCAGCCATGCTGGGAGGTGATCCCGCAAGGGTGGGGTTATCGCGAGATTTGGAGAAATGGTGTCAATAAGCCAGTTTTGTGTGGTGTGTGGAGTTCAATTGCCCATTGAGGATGGGCATGATGTGTGTGCAATGTTTGGGGGAGGAACATGCTGCTGCGGCAGGCGACAATCCATCCTTCTGTATGGATTGTTCTATTTTGCCAGCACGATCCTTAGAGGCTTGGCTTTGTGTGTTTAGGGTGAAGCGTAGGTGGGGGCGAAGAGAGTTTACACCATCTGCAGTGCCCCAGCAGTCTGGGCCTCAAGATGGGGGATTTTGGAGGCAGCTCCTTTGTAGATTCCCGCCCTAAGTTCCCTCCCAGGTCCTTCTTGCCTGGTGACAGAATCAGAATCTGAGTCCCGAGGCTGATGACCAGGAGGATGTGGAGGAGGAAGTTGATGTGTTGGGGTTATAGGATGATGCAGCTGCTGAGGGGATGATTGAGGAGAGTGAGACCAAAGAAAGTAAGCGCCAGCAATTCAGAAGCTTGATTGAGAGGGCTCCTCAGGCTCTGGGGCTTGGACCAGTATTAGGTCAAGCTCCTACCCCCTCATGCTTTGATGAGGATGATGATCTCCCTGATACGGAGGTGCCTTTTGCAGTGCCTCTCCTGCCAGATGTGGAAGACCTGATGCACAAGGCATTGGAGAATCCCACGGCTAAGCTTTCCCTTACTGCTACCACCAGACGGATGTCTGCCATGCAGCATAAGGAGAAGGTGGGCTGTGGTTCTTTGCCTCAGATAGACCAGTCGGTTTCTGCCCTCTTATTTCTGGCCAGCTCCATGTTAGGGCCAGCTACCCCGTCAGGGGACTGCAAAATTCTGGATGCCTCACTGGCCAGACTACACAGGTCTATGGCAGTTCAGACTCAACTGGCGAATACCGGGTCCATCTTAGTGCTGTACCAGCGGAAGTTGGTACGTCAGCTGAGCACTGGGGCTGATGCCCGTCTTATTTCTGAGATACAGCTTGTTTCATCTATGTTGTCATCACTGATGACGCTGACCACTGGGAAGGGCATGTCGTCATTCTGGGTTACCAGGCGCCAGCTGTATTTGTCCAGATCTAAGTTGCAGTCAGAGGACATAGGGGCCCTCCTGAAGTTGCCAGTTGTACCGACAGCCATGTTTAGGCCTGGTGGCACTACTCTTTTGCAACAGGCACAGGAGGCCTGCCGCTGTGCTAAGGAGGTCTCCAGTGCACTGACCCCCACGGCCAAGCCCAGGTGGTCTGGTCAGGCTGGGGGTAAGAGGGTCGAGGGCCCCACACAGGCACTTGGATCAGGCTGAGGGCCTGGTGACCTGAGGGCTACTCTTGATGCTCACCACGGTCACGTCGGTGCAAGTGGGCAGAGGCGAAGGCAAGCATAAGCCTCCGTCTTCTTCCTGATGCCAGATCACATTCAGTCTGCCTCCAGCAAGCCCAGGCTCGAGTGGCAGCCTGGGAGTCAATGAATACGAGCCCCTGGGTGGTTTCAACCATGACCCAGGGGTATAGTATTCAGTTTGCTCGGCGTCCCCCAACCTCAATGACACCTACAGTGTTGTTTGTTTGTGAGGCAAATTGTGATTTGTGATATTGGGCTTTATAAATAAAATTGATTGATTGATTGATTGATCCATCAATACAAAAATAAAGGCTTTGTGTTTCCCATACATTGATCTACATGTGAGGCACAATATTCAATTCAATTCAATTTTATTTATAAAGCCCAATATCACAAATCACAATTTGCCTCACAGGGCTTTACAGCATACGACATCCCTCTGTCCTTATGACCCTCGCAGCGGTTAAGGAAAAACTCCCCCAAAAAAAACCCTTTAACGGGAAAAAAAACGGTAGAAACCTCAGGAAGAGCAACTGAGGAGGGATCCCTCTTCCAGGACGGACAGACGTGCAATAGAGGTCGTACAGAACAGATCAGCATAATAAATTAACAGTAATCCGCATGACACAATGAGAGAGAGAGAGAGAGAGAGAGAGACAGAGAGATGCAGGTAATGACAGTAGCTTACAACAACATTATTGAAAGTAATAATATTATAGTTATAGTTCTGGTTACTGTGGTACAATATGTTGAAAGTATGTATTAATATCTGGCAGTATACATGTGTGACAATAGTCATATGTGTATAATAACAGTAGAAGTATGACTAATGACTAATGATGGCAGCAGCAGCAGGAGGCATCTGGCAGGACCACGGCAGCAGCACAACCACACACGTCACGCTGTCCAGGCACCGCTGCGATATGAGTTAATCTGAGAGACAGTGGAGCACAAAGGCTCCGGAGAAGAAGCCGAGTTAGTGACATCCAGAATGGCCGAGTTAGCAAGATGCAGTAATAGGATGAGAGTGAGAGAGAGAGAGAGAGAGAGAGAGAGAGAGAGAGAGAGGGAGAGAGAGGGAGCCCGGTGTATTATAGGGGGTCCTCCGGCAGACTAGGCCTAAGTCAGCCTAACTAGGGGCTGGTACAGGGCAAGCCTGAGCCAGCCCTAACTATAAGCTTTATCAAAGAGGAAAGTCTTAAGTCTAGTCTTAAATGTGGAGACGGTGTCTGCCTCCCGGACCGTAACAGGAAGATGATTCCACAGGAGAGGAGCCTGATAGCTGAAGGCTCTGGCTCCTGATCTACTTTTGGAGACTTTAGGGACCACGAGTAACCCTGCGTTCTCAGAGCGCAGTGTTCTGGTGGGATAATATGGCACTATGAGCTCTCTAAGATATGACGGAGCTTGACCATTTAGAGCTTTATAAGTTAACAGTAGGATTTTAAATTCAATTCTGGATTTTACAGGGAGCCAGTGCAGAGAAGCTAAAACAGGAGAAATATGATCTCGTTTCTTAGTTCCTGTTAGTACACGTGCTGCTGCATTCTGAATTAGCTGGAGAGTTTTTAAGGACTTACTAGAGCTACCTGATAATAGAGAGTTACAGTAATCCAGCCTTGAGGTAACAAAAGCGTGGACCAATTTTTCTGCATCTTTTCGGGTCAGGATAGGCCTAATTTTCGCAATATTACGCAGATGAAAAAATGCAGTCCGTGAGGTTTGCTTTAAATGAGAATTAAAAGACAAATCTTGATCAAATATTACTCCGAGGTTTCTTACGGTAGTGCTAGAGGCCAGAGCAATGCCATCTAGAGAAACTATGTCATCAGATAAAGAGTCTCTGAGTTGTTTGGGGCCAAGAACAATAACTTCAGTTTTGTCTGAATTTAACATCAGGAAATTGGTGCTCATCCAATTTTTTATGTCTTTAAGGCAGTTATGGAGTTTAGTTAATTGATTACTTTCTTCTGGCTTCATCGATAAATACAACTGTGTATCATCCGCATAACAATGGAAATTTATAGAGTGATTTCTAATGATGTTACCTAAAGGAAGCATATATAGAGTAAATAGGATTGGTCCGAGCACAGAACCTTGCGGAACTCCAAAACAAACTTTGGTACGTAAGGATGATTCATTACGAACGTCAACAAATTGAAAACGATCAGATAAATAAGATTTAAACCAGCTTAGTGCTGAACCTTTTAGGCCAATTAAGTGATCCAGTCTCTGCAGTAGAATTTGATGGTCAATTGTGTCAAACGCCGCACTAAGATCTAATAAAACAAGAACAGAGACGAGTCCTTTGTCTGAAGCAATCAGAAGGTCATTTGTAATTTTAACTAGAGCTGTCTCAGTGCTATGATGCACTCTAAATCCTGACTGAAATTCCTCAAATAAATTATTATCCTGGAGAAAATCACACAGCTGGTCTGCGACTACTTTCTCAAGGATCTTTGACATAAAGGGAAGATTAGATATTGGTCTATAGTTGGCTAACACCTCTGGATCCAGGGTGGGCTTTTTTAGGAGAGGTTTAATTACAGCTACCTTAAAAGACTGTGGTACATAGCCTGTTAATAGGGATATATTGATCATATCTAATATATGAGTGTTAACTAAAGGAAAGACCTCCTTAAGTAGCCTAGTTGGGATGGGGTCTAAGAGACACGTTGATGATTTAGATGAAGAAATCACTGCGGTCAATTCTTGAAGAGAAATTGGGGAGAAGCAATCTAAATATATATTAGATTCTACAGCTGTGTTTGAGGTTAGATAGGTAGGCCTACCATCTGAGGGCAGGAGGTCATGAATTTTGCCTCTAATAGTTAGAATTTTGTCATTAAAAAAGCTCATAAAATCATTACTGCTAAGGGCTAAAGGAATACAAGGCTCAATAGAGCTTTGACTCTCAGTCAGCCTGGCTACAGTGCTGAAAAGAAACCTGGGGTTGTTCTTGTTTTCTTCTATTAATGCTGAGTAATAGTTTGCTCTGGCATTGCGGAGGCCCCTCTTATAAGTTTTGAGACTGTCTGTCCAGATTAAACGAGATTCTTCCAGTTTGGTTAATCGCCAATTCCTTTCAAATTTTCGCGATATTTGTTTTAACCTACGGGTTTGAGAGTTATACCAAGGAGCAAACTTTCTTTGCTTTGTTAACTTCTTTTTAAGAGGAGCTACAGAGTCGAGCGTTGTTCGCAGCGAGCCTACGGCGCTATCAACAAAATGATCAATTTGGGAGAGGTTAAAGTCGGCACGGGAAACCTCTGTTACTGAAGGTATTGGTATTGAATTTAACGACGAAGTAATCTTTTCCTTAAATTTTGTGACAGCACTATCTGATAAACATCTAGTATAGTAACTGTTGCTGAGTGGCGTGTAATCGAGTAAAAAGAAATCAAAAGTAATCAGATAATGATCTGATAGCAAGGGATTCTGTGGAAAGACTTTTAGGTTATCAATTTCAATTCCATACGTCAGAACTAGATCGAGGGTATGGTTAAAACAGTGAGTGGGTTCATGTACACCCTGACTGAAGCCAATGGAGTCTATTAATGAGATAAACGCGGTAGCCAGGGAGTCATTATCAACGTCGACATGAATGTTAAAATCGCCTACAATAATAACTTTATCTGATTTAAGAACTAAACTGGATAAAAACTCTGAGAATTCAGATACAAATTCAGAATACGGGCCAGGAGCACGGTACACTATAACAAATAAAAGTGGCTGCAAGGTTTTCCAGGTCGGATGTAAAAGACTAAGAACGAGGCTTTCAAATGAATTATAATCTAGTTTAGGTTTCGGGCTGATTAACAGACTAGAGTTAAAAATGGCTGCAACTCCCCCTCCTCGGCCACTGCCTCGAGGAATGTGGGTATTATTATGACTGGGAGGAGTGGACTCATTCAGACTAACATATTCATCTGGACACAGCCAGGTTTCAGTGAGACTGAGTAAATCAATATGATTATCTGATATTAATTTGTTTACTAACACTGCTTTAGGCGATAGAGACCTGATATTTAACAGTCCGCATTTAATTCTCCTGTTTTGTCTTTCTGTCACAGAAGAGGTTTTAATTTTTATGAGGTTGTTATGCACAACTCCTCTTTGTTTAATTTTAGATTTAAATAATTTAGGTGGTCGGGGGACAGACACCGTTTGTATAAAACTATGAAAGCTATGGCTGGGTAACTGAACTAGAAGCTCAGAGAGGCGTATAGGACTACATCTCTGAGTCCTGATCTCAACTCTGGGTTGTCAGGGATTTAAATTACTAATAAAGTTTGCCAGGTTCCTAGAAATGAGAGCAGCTCCATCCAAAGTGGGATGAATGCCGTCTCTCCTAATAAGACCAGGTTTTCCCCAGATAGTTTGCCAATTATTAACGAAACCCACATCGTTTGCTGGACACCACCTGGACAGCCAGCGATTAAATGATGACATGCGGCTAAACATGTCATCACTGGTCAGATTTGGGAGGGGTCCAGAGAAAACTACGGAGTCCGACATCGTTTTTGCATATTCGCACACCGAGGCAATATTAATTTTAGTGACCTCCGATTGGCGTAACCGGGTGTCATTGCTGCCAACGTGAATAACAGTCTTACTGAATCTACGTTTAGCTTTAGCCAGCAGTTATAAATTTGAGTCATTGTCGCCCGCTCTGGCCCCAGGGATACATTTGAATATGGCCGCTGGTGTTGCTAACTTCACATTCCTCAGAATAGAGCTGCCAATAACCAGAGTTTTATCCTCAGCGGGTGAAACATGAAACAGGCTGGTGGTGAGCCGTGGGCTTCGGCTTGGAGCTGTGCTTCTGGCGAACCGTAACCCAACCACCCGGCTGAACGGGAGTTACCGGAGGACAATTAGCAGAGGCTAAGGCTATGCTATGTGGCTCCGCACCAGCTACAGGGGACTGGCTAACTACCGCAGCTACTGAATGGTTTTCCATGGTGCGGAGCCGCGCTTCTAATTCACTAAGCCTCGCCTCCAACGCAGCAAATAAGCTACACTTATTATAATTACCACTGTCGCTAAAGGAGGCAGAGGCATAACTGAACATTTGGCACACAGAGCAAAAGAGAGCAGAGGGAGAAGCCATCGCTAACTGTAAAGCTAATGTAGCTACCAAGGCTAGTAACATGCAAACAACAGCTAAGAGCTTAGCGAGAAAGTCGTAGAAAGGAGGAGAGCTATAAGTGCTTAAACAGAACCAGTGTGGGTTAAGACTTGAAGTAGACGTTAAAGCAATGTTAAAGCAACTGAAGTGAGAAAGCAGGCTAGTAGAATTCACCAGAGCAGTATCAACACTGACCTGCCAAATTTAGATTTTCCTTTTTTTTTTTTTTACTATTTAAAATGGGTAAACGCCTATCTTATTTTAGAGCTGCACACAGCGTATTGATTCGCTCTCTCTCCTTCTCTGTTCATCATGAGACAGTAACACCTCCTTTAGTCACACAGTGATAGGGCAAACTGTTAGCATCACACAGCTAATGATACCTTACAGTTATTAACGGGTTTAACGAGTCGAGTCAGTGTGGTTTGTTGGGACAGTTTAACAGCTCGGTGTTGGATGTTTGCTGCTGCTGTGCTAGCTCGAGCTAACTGTGTAACCTGGATGGTCGTTCCGTCCTGGACGGTCCTTCAGTGCTGCGTCTAACCAGTGTCATGGCAGCGACAGAAAGGGATCAGACCCCTGGCATAATCATGCTGTCTACCTCTACAACTATGAAAAACATGTACGCTGGCAACAACACATCTGGCTCTCTAGTTAGCATGATACCCAGTGCCTCTTCTTCTTCTTCTTCTTCTCTGTGTTTATTAACAGTATAGATGCTGTGCCAGTTAAGTCAGTAAAAGCAAGTTGGCTTTGTATTATCTGCTCTGTTTATCGGCTGTCATTTTATTATTTGAATAATAAATAATAATACAAATTTAGCATTATTGGCCGATAATCTAAAAGCCCGCTATGTATCGTCCATCCCTTAATTATTTTATCACAAATTATATTCTAAATCAAGCCATGTTTGCAAAGTTATTAAGGTTTTTATTTTACTGCAGAGGCTGCAGGATGATAATGAATTAAACCAAAATCTTTAACAGTACTGATGAAAGAACCAATAATATCAGAGCTTTTCAATACTACAGTCTTTGATCATTTAGCCCTGGGGCTTGTTTAATACCGGGTTTGGTACCCATCCCTACTGGCAACGTTATCAAATCATATATCATGATATATATTTTGTGCATCTGTGAGAATTTTGCATTATTCTTGTTTGCAGGTGCCTGCTATGGCTGTAGAGAAGGTATTTATCTATAACAACACATCCATCGTCCAGGATGAAGTCCTGGCCCACAGATTAGGCCTCATCCCCATCAAAGCTGACCCTCGCCTGTTTGAGTACAGGAATACTGGTAAAACAACACAGTGAACCACTCACACATATGACAGTTTACCACAGTACTCCCATGTTACTCTGCTGCAGTTGTTTTCCTGAAAGGCGTATGTGTAGGTTTGGGCTTGGACAGCATTTTGTTCAGTCATCCAATATTGATACTACTTATCAATGTAAATCTTTCTAATTAGCCTGGAAACGCATTAGGTTTTGCATTTTAGGTTAGGTTTAACTCCAGTCGGCGGTGGGGTTTCTGTGAAGTGCTGTAAAGTTTAGTTGATTCAAAGCACACATTTAATATGGCTTTATAGCAACAGTTTCAATCACAATTACACAAATTGGCTTCATTATCACGCGCAGGATTCAAAGACAAAGCACTTGTCTTTTGCGCAAAACTTTTTCACCACAGATACAACATGCTAATGTTATTTGCACAAGCCTAAGGCATTTTACATTGTATAAATTAGTCTAGGGGCTAGCGGGGATTTTCTGTACTCATATAAAGGGACAACAAGAATATTTAATAACGTTCACCAACAAAACAACAGTTTTATACTACAGGGTTTTCCCTGCCTATCTAAGACAAAGGCGATCATGGGTGATCATGGGGGGTGTTCAGATGTAGCATCTTTTGCGCGCACAAACACATTACTTTTAATGTAGGTGTGCATCATGCGTGCTCACAACCCAAAGCAACGCCATAGCGGCGCGCATTCAGTGCGATGCACTTGTTTTTCGTCCGGCGCACAGCTTTACGGACCTGCTTCTTCCTCTGGTGTTGTGTTTTCCATGGAGCTCTGCCCCGTTTGAAAGGTGAAGGAAGCCCGTCGGTGGAAAGATGTTGCCTCTGAGATGTAGAATCTGTATTATAGAAGAGAAAACACACATTTCAGGACCGCTGACTTGTATGATCAGAACAGACATGTCCTGTGATTTTCAGCCTCCTTTTATTTTTAATAGAGGGGGGAAAATACCTGACAGTAATATTCTCAGCTGTCAGGATGTGCCTGCTGTAAAGGGTAAATATAATCATAGACAGGGGCGAAAATCCCATTTCATAGCTGGGGGGGACAATAAACAGTAAAATTTTAGAGAATAATTCCAGGGGGGGACAAGGAAAAAAAGTTGTAGCCTGTCTTTTATACAGCATCTTTTACCGCAATTTGACGCTTTAATCTTCTCTCTATCTCTCCAACAGGCAGAGTGAATGTCTATACTTATGAGAAATGGCTTAACAACTAAATGTTTCCTGCAATTAAACTGGTAAACTGGTTTATAAACTGTGTGCTGTGAGATCTGCCGCTGCGCACCTCACAACCATGTGTAATAGTCACGCGTAATGCCCGCTCCTCGTCGGTTAAACTGCACGTCTTTCATGTTTGTCTCACTGACAGGTGGAGAGCCAACAGACAGGTACCCATTAGCTATGAGTCGCTCCGTCACAACCGTGAGTAATAGTCGCACGTAATGACTGCTCCTCGTCGGTTAAACTGCACGTCTCTCATGTTTGTCTCACTGACAGGTGGAGAGCCTACAGACAGGTACCCATTAGCTACGAGCCGCTCTGCCACTGACTGCTCTTGTCCTGTCCTCTCCCTCTTCTTTCTCTCCTGTCCTCTCTGACTATCACTAAACTCTGAGCTTAATCATTAGCGTTTAGCTTAGCAGCATTCATAATTGAGTAGGCTTTTGAACAATGCAGGAGAAATGTTGCAGACAGTTTATATTATCAGCCTGGGCCTGGGGCTTGTTGTAACAGTAAATGGGATGTGTTGTAACTTGCGTAAGTTAAACTGTGTGAGTGTACATCGATCTTACCCTGCGATGCGCGATGTGAGCAGCGGGTCCAGCCACACGCTGCTACTGCTGCCAAGCAGCCCCGCCCGTTGGAAAGAGCATGGGATATACCACTACTAGGAATGGGAGGGGGGGACTAAATCTTTTAAGATTTAAATAGCACATTATTGCGCAATTATAATGAGCACCGCTTACATTGTGCTTTCAATAAATACTACTGCATTGTTCAAAAATTATTAATTGTGTCTCAAATTATTCTAGGGGGGGACAGCTTTACTGAAGGGGGAGTCATGTCCCCCCTGTCCCCCCCAGGATTTCCACCCCTGATCATAGAAGGCTGAAAATCACAGGACATGTCTGTTCTGATCATACAAGTCAGCAGTGTAAAGCTCAAGCATGTCAGGGCCTCCTTTCATATTTAATAGAGGGGGGGACCGTATCTAAAAGTACAGCTATCAAGATGCACCCTGCCACAGGCCTTTGCCACCTTGGTCTCAAAAAAACCCAGGGAAAACCCTGTACTAAACATGTTTTCCCAACAAATACAACATGCTAACATTATTAGCACAAGCCTGTGGTATTTTACATTGTATAAATTAGCCTAGTGACAAGCGGAGATTTCCTCTGATCACATGAAGCCAGGATAAATCACACACAAGACTTAAAATACAATTTTGTGGATACTTTTATTGTCTTCACAATTTGTTGTTTCTTATCTGTGAAATAAAAGTAAATAAAGCTTTGTTTACTCTGAGGGAAATGGTTTTCAGCTTACAAAAATAGACAGATCTGCATCGCTGCGATGTGTAATTACATTTCTGGGGAGGTGCACATCAGGCTATGGTGTTGCTGTTGATTCGATGCAGAAATATAAATCCTGCTTAAGGCACAATGAAATAACAGCTGTGACTTTTACACCCAATTTTTTACCAGTTACTTGCTCCAGGTTCGGGAGGCATTGATTTAAAGTTGATGAGTTGATAGCTTACCTTATATGACTATGATATCAATAAAAATGTGATCTGCTGATGGTTTTATAAGAGAAGGCTCATAGTATACTCATGCTTGCGCAGTGATGATAGGGAGTGGTACATCCTTTTCTCTTGAACAGTGGTTGGTATAGACACAAAATGGAATCAACTGTCTTTTGGATCAGACAGTTGATTCCATTTTCTGTCTATACCACACAGCTGTTATTAAGCTTAGATTTAAGGAACATTACACAAATATTTAATACCAAATTCTCAGCTGTCAAGGTTTGAAAAAACTTGATCAAAGTATGTATTTTTATGTTTTTTCTTACATTTTTGTTTTAAGTGAGGTAAATATAAGATGCAGGAAAGTCATAGTACTTTTGCTGCATTTCTTTGGTTTAGCATTTATATGTGTATCCAGACCACTTAAAATGGTCCCCAAATCTTATCAAATGTTTGACCAGAACCAGTTTGATAATTTATCTATCATAGCAAATATGTGATGTAGTTAGGAACTAATTTTGCCTTACATTACATGGGTGAATGGTACAGCACCTTTCTAGTCTTGTGAACAACCAAAGCACTGTTACACTACATGTCACTTTCACACCGTACACTGTTGGCTGAGGTTACCATACAAGGTGCGTCTCGGTAAAGATTCACACACAATTTAAGAGTTCAGTATCTTGCCCAAGGATACTTCCACATACATACACAGTGGGCACTCTATTAGCTCTACCTCCCGGCTTGTCCTCAGGTAGGAACATACATTTATAAGATGGACACACCAGGGAACCCAGTAGAGTCGAACATATTTGGTTCTGCTTTGTTTATTTCAGGTGAAGAGTCTGCAGAAGAAGAAGGTTCAGAAATAGATACAATACAACTGCAGCTGAAGGTTAAATGCAGCAGGAATCCCAGAGCCAGTAAAGACTCCTCTGACCCACAAGAGCTGTATTTGAACCACATGGGTAGGTTTCAGGAGACACTAAGTGATCAAAGATTTGCTGGTAGTGTTTGCAGATGCAGACTTGGATACAATAGCTGTGACAAAAAAACGAGTGATTGCTGAAAATAAGCCCTTTGGGGAGGGAAATGCTCCACGGCACTGATACCTAATTAAGAAAGAATATCCCTGTGTAAATATCCCCTGTTCCATGCTGTCTCGTCTCAGTTTATTCCAGGGACATAAAGTGGGTCCCGATTGGGAACCAGGCAGACGTGTTTGCAGACTCCATCATTGGACCAGTACATGATGACATCCTGATTGCTCAGCTCCGACCAGGACAGGAGCTGGACATCATCATGCACTGTGTCAAAGGAATCGGTAAGAGCTTCTTAGTGTCTAGATGAGAGACTAGCCAGCTCACTGCAGATATGGGATAAAACAAGGGCCCTTTTATTATGCCTCCGTGCAGGCAATAGCCACAACCAGAGGCATTATGCTTTCATGTTTTATGTACATCTGTTCCTACGTCTGTCCGTCCATCCCATGCATGTGAACGCAATATCTCAAGTACACCTCAAGGGAATTCATTCAAATTTGGCACCAATGTCCAGTTTGACTCAGCGATGAGCTGAGAAGTTTTTGGTGGTTGTAGGTCAATGGTCAAGGTCACTGTGACCTTGTTTGTCTCATTCTTGTGAACACGGTATCTCAAGAACTCCATATGGGAATTTCTTTAAATTTCATTTTTCACTTCATTTCATTTCACAAATGTTGAGTTGGACTAGAGAAAGAAACGGATCAGATTTTGGTGGTAAGGGTCAAAGGTCAAGGTCGCTGTGACCTTGCATCCATCTCATTCTCATGAACACAATATCTCAAGAACAGCTTGAAGAAATTTCTTCAAATTTGGCACAATTGTTCACTTGGACCGAACAATGACAGTGTTTCCCCTAGGTTTCCAGCTTTTGGGGGGGTGGGGGGGGGGTCAGACGGACACCGATACAAACACTTAAAGGAATCATGGTGTTCATGTATTTCTTTTAATCACAGCAGTCAATATAACAACTGAAAAAGTATTTGAACTGTACATTGGACTCAACATCATAACATTTCTTCTTCACCACCCTGGTAGCATTAAAAAGGCGCTGATATGTTTGTCTGCTTTTCAGATGGTTGACGCAACATATTTTCCGACGCACGCTCTCTGTCAGCTGGTGGGAGTGTGCTCACCTGTGTGTGTGTGTGTGTGTGTGTGTGTGTGTGCGCGCGTGCGCTCGCGCGCGCACGCGCACACACAGAGAGTAGAGGAGAATTGTAGGCATGTAGAGACAGAAATGACATGCCATTGTGTAAATAAGATAAATAACAAAAGGCTATTTAGTTTGTTTAATAAAAGGACAAGGGATAGACCTGTTCTATAGGAAAGGTAACCTTAAATAACTTCTGTTGTGATCTGGCGCTATATAGAAAATAAAATTAAATAAAATTGACATGACCTTCAAGGGGGGTTGCGGGGTGCCGTTGGGAGGCTGATATAATGGTAGGGGAAACACTGAATGAACTGATTGGATTTTGGTTTTCAAAAGTCAAGGTCAGTATGACCTCACACAATATGTCTTTGGCCATATCTCAAGAATTCATGTGCTAATTATGACAAAACTTCACACAAATGTCAAAAATTATGACAATGAAGTGATGACATTTTATATCCAAAAGGTCAACTTCACTTTGACGTCATAATATTTTGCAGAAAACATTTTCTGGCCATTAGCCAACATCATATCTCAGTAACAAAAGGGGAGACATTTGGTCAGATACTGAATTGGTGAGACTAATCTTGGGTGTCCTCCTTGAAACTGTGCTGATTGTATAGATCTGCCATGCTGTTGGGGGGAAGATGTGTGTGACGCATCCATGTTTTCACAGACATGGATGTAAATTGTAAGAGAAACTTGACTGCACTGTGTGCGTAGGCATACAACCGCGGGGTGGTAATTCTAGTTTACATTATAAATTAGTATGAAGTTTATATTACTAGCCTACATGTGTTTCCAAATCTGAAAAGTACTTGCATGAAAGTTCATTCTTGACTGGAGGTCTCAGAGTGACAAACTAATCTTAACACATGGTTTCTTCTAGAGCCTTCAACAAAAACGTGTACAAAAATATAGATTACTTTGGTGTAATTTGTCAGTGATAAAGTATTTTGACATTTTTGTTTCTAATATTTAAGTATCTGAAAGTTATCCAGCACACCTTACACATTCATAATCCTCATATATTATGTACTAATATGCACTTGGATCATGTTATCTGTCTGCTACTGTATGCTCCCTGGTACTGAAGTGTTTTCTTTGTTCAGGTAAGGACCATGCTAAGTTCTCTCCAGTGGCCACAGCCAGTTACCGCCTCCTCCCAGACATCACCCTGCTGGAGCCGGTGGAGGGAGAGAAGGCAGAGCGCCTAAAATGCTGCTTTTCACGAGGAGTTATAGACATAGAAGATGTTAATGGTAAGAAAGAGCTAACTTCACTCATAAGAAACCAAATAAAAACTAACTCTTCAGAGGGCATAATGAAACAACTAAATACATGAACCATAAGCCTGAGGGCAGTACTCTGCAAGCATGCAGCACATTTCCACTTCACCAGCTAGGAGATTTATCTAAGCAGAGGCTTAATATAACAGATGTCCAGTATATTAAAGGGGTACACCACCTAAATTCAGATGTCATTTTCATGGCACAGGAAAGATCAATCAGTATGTGTGAATATGAGCTATTCTCTCAAAGCCATAAAACAAAAAACTAAGTCTCAAACTTATGATATGATAAGGTATAAAGTGTGGAGCTGCTCCATAGACAATGAATGGGAATCTCATTTTCTGGACCCACAGGTGTTGTCTTTTTTATACCCAGATGAGTTTTGTTCTATAGTAGTTTTCTCAGTTGTGAAACAGAAAATGTCCCCATATGCTCAGAACATTCCCCAGGCTGCTCTCAGTGTCATCTACAACATCTTCCACCATTCATTGTCTGTGGAGCAGCTCCACACTTTATATCTTATGACATCACAGATTTGCCTTTTAGCGCTTGAGTTTTGGGATTTGGGAGAGAGTTGTTCATTTTATCTAATATTTGAAATGTCTTAGACCATAGGAATAACATGTATGAATTTTGAAGATTGGTGTAATTCCCCTTAAGGAAGAGTTCGGCAAAATATAGAAAAATTGGAATGATCTTACAGTAAAAATGATCCATTCTTACAGGGGTTGGAATCACCAGAGACGCCACAATACCATGTTACCACAATACTTAAAGGCCCAGGCACACCAAACCGACTTCAGAGAACGCGGAGACAAAAGCCCCCTGCTGTATTGCCAGACATTCTTGTGTCTTGGCCAAAAAAGTTGCAACATACCGCAAAGACCACAGCTGACAGCCAACCAGCATGTATGTTCTGTGCCTGTGTGAGAGGAAATAAGTCTCCACACCAGCAGACAGTGGTTGTCTGTAATCGTCATTCAAAAAGGAACCAGAATGCCTGTCTTCTAAGACTAGTTAGCCAGCTAGCACGTTAACAACACAATCCAATGTTGAAAGAACAGAGCAAATTTATTGTGCACCAATAACACAAACCATCAGTAAAATGTTTTTGCCAAAGAGCTCAATGGATAAAGAAAAATAATCTTACCTTATGTAACATGTTTGTTTTGGTCTCACTCCCTCATGACTTAAGCTCTTTGTTGACTTTCCTCACTTCCGTTTCTCTTCTCGTTCGCTGAGCTCAACTGCGAATCAGATTAATTTTATTCACTGATGGGCTCCATCGTCACCGACACTTTTTCAGCATGCTCAATCAGCCAAAAAAAGCCAATGGTAAAATTGATACTTGGCATTTGTGTATTGATACAATATTGCCACGCAAAATATTGCGATACTATGCTGTATCAAGTTCCCCCCCTGCCCCTACATTCTCATCAGTTTGATTGTTTAAATGACAGTGATTTCTCCTGTCTCTTTCATATAGTCTAACATGGCCCCAAGCCAGAATGGAAAGATGTTAGGATTTCTGAGGAGTTAACTTGTTTATCAGTCTGTAGCAGGCCTGGAATTTTATCATTTTAGGGGCAAGGCCACTTGGTCTTTCGTGTTGTCAATTTTTTGAGGACACAAAGGCAAAAAGCCAGGGCAGCAAGGCCATAAAATAAAACAATGATTTTAAGTCCACGTCCATAATGAATTTAATTTAAGGACTAAGGATGTATAACTATCTGTGAAATGAATAAATAAAACGAGCTCAAGTAATAATAATGAGTATAATAAGTAATAATGTAATCTATTTAATAGTACTAATAAACCCAGTGTGTTTTAAATATAGAACAACCAGGTTCATGTATTTATAAGCAAACAATCTTAAATATTAGGCCTAAATATTTTTTGAGTGTACATGATAAACTGATTCACTGAACAAGACTGGCTTACAATTATTTTTGATATGTTGTTAGATAGCTAACAAACAATATAACATATATATACATAGGCATGGCCCTCCTCAACATAATGCAGAAACAGACTAAAAAAAGAGCTATCAATGCACAGAAGCATAATAAGTGACATTAACAGTATCTAATAACACACACCATCTCTCTACCAGCATGTCCCTCTCTCCTCCACACACACACATGGACACACCTCACCTCCTGATGCTTTCCTTACAGGTCAGTTACACAGGATAGAGTTTTATACAGTCCATGGCAGCAACAGTCATGTTTACAACAACAAATAATAATAACAATAATAATAAACAACAATAACAATAATATCTGACTGGAATATAAATATTCCTCCTTCATCACAATACTGAGTGAAGAAAGTCACATTATCTCAGCTTGAAGACAAACATCAGTATCAGTCATTCATCCTGCTCTTTGTCCCTCCTCTACTGAGGAGACTCGCTGTCTGCAGGTCGGCTGCCTCAGGTACATGTTCAGATAAAGTGTTAGCCTACATACAGACAGCTTTCATTTTAGTTTGTCTGTAAAAGTTTGCTGTTAGCACCGCGAGCGTGATGTGCTTGTGTCGACCGCGATTGTAAATCATAATAGCGGTGAATGAGAGACTGCGGACGGAGCAGATTGAAATATGGCTTTCTACATGCTGATTACATGTATTGATAAAGTATTGGCTTGGCTGGCAGAGGTTTTATTGCACTTACTTACAGTAACAAGCGTAGTTGTCGTTAACTAGAGTAATCTTGAAGTTATATTCCCTTCATCTGCAACGCGGCCTCTCTGCTGTTGTCTGACTTCACTCTGTTGAGTTTGTGTGTGTGCACGCGCGCTCTGTGAGGAGGAGGTCAGCCCTGACATGCAGAGAGCAACTCATTTCTGAGTTTTGAAAATGAATGAATAAATAAATAAAGCAATCGGCCTAATCATGTATGTACAAAATGCTATAAGGCTACATTACCTGTTCTGAAGACATGATGATCATGCATTACACGGCCAGCTTCAGGAACTTCACCTGTATCGTTGGCTTGTCAACAAGTGCACAAGCAGAAAGGTTTTTGCGACAGTTGTAACAGACAATACTGTTTTTGAATGTAGGGGGACCCCGTGAGGTAAAACGAGCAATCCTCCATTGTGTTGCTTTAAGTCTGTAAATGTAATCATCTGTCTTCTTGTGTTGTGTACCTCAGGGAAAAAGGTCGCCAAAGTAGTAAACAGCCGCTTGGATACGTGCAGCAGGGAAGTCCTCCGACATAATGACCTGAAGAATGTCGTGAAGCTGGGAAGACTGCGAGACCATTTCATCTGTACGTTCATATACCTTGTTCATGTACATGCAATCCAGACTGTTTTTACCATGTCAGGGATCACCTTAAATAAACAGTTTGATATTTTGAGAAGAGCAATCAATTTCTTTCTCACCAAGAGTGATATGAGATTACTAACACTCTATGCGCGTGGTAAATATGAAGCTACCACTGAGAGACAGTTTAGCATAGAGACTGGAAATAGGGAAGCAGCCAGCCTGGCTCTGCCTGAAGTTAAAATATCTGTTTCCCAGTACCTCTAAAGCTCACTAATCAACATGTTGCATGTTGTTTGTTTAACCCAGTGATACTCGACTTACAGCCCACGGATCAAATCTGGCTCCTGATGGGTGCTGGGTAGCCGCTAGGGGTGTAAATCACCAGTCTCATCACAATACAATATTGTATGGATTCTTTAGACAATGATACAATATTTGCTGGTATTACAAAGTTTGCCACAATATGGCTTCAGTTCAATTCAAGATATCTGTGATCGATATGAGGCGGCATTATATACTCATATAACACAATCTGTTCCAGAAGAAGCTGTCATCCCTTTCTTTTTTGCTTTTGGCTGTAAAAATATAATGTAAATAATTGTAACCAGTTAAGTGCAGTAAAGTTTATTTTATACTGATTCTACTAACACACATAAAACAGCACAAGATAAGTTAATCTTCAGTGCTTTCTGCCAGAGAGACCTTTCTGGAAGAAATGTTTTCATTCTAACCCAAACCATCATCTTTTTCCTAAAACTTGAAGGCAAACTTCTCCCAGCAGCCATAAAACATGGGTTAACAACATGGTAATTTTTCAAAAGTATAAAATTCATCTCAATAACTGTCAGGGTTCACCACAAAACAATTGTTTTTGCTGGTCAGCCATTAGTAGCTTAAGGACTTAAACACTGCATAAATTAGCCTTGTAGCTAGTGGAGATTTCCTCTACGAATTACATGCATTATTTAAGCTTTTTCTTACTCACCATTTGTTTAAGTCTCTGCATCTCCTGACGGAACAGCTCATTTGAATTTCAGTCTGCATGCACATTTTTTGCCCAATATTGTTGAAACAGAGCAGCTAATGTTGCTGTAGTGAGAAGTTAGCGGAGTAAGATGTATGACCAGGCAGATTACGTAGTGTTTTATCTTATAACAGCATTGTGTACATACAGCATGTGCTCTCTCTGTTGACCCCTGTTTTGTCCGAAATCAATAATAAATTCACACTGCTGATTTATTCTCGTGTAAATAACGTTATCTTCATCATATTTCTCTTTGCTGCTTGCCATTTGCCTGCTGCTGTTCGACGGTGCATAACAGAGCATCAAATCAGAGCTTCATTCATTTATTTTCCTTAACCACTTATAGTTTTAGGGGTAGCATGGGGGCTGGAGCCTATCCCAGTTAACATTGGGCAAGAAGCAGGGTACACTGTGGACAGGTCACCAGACTATCACAGGGCTGACACATAGAGACAAACAACCATTCATGCTCACATTCACACCTACAGCCATTTTAGAGTCACCAGTTAACCTGCATGTGTTTGGACTGTGGGAGGAAGCCAGAGTACCCAGAGGAAACCCACGCTGACATGGGGAGAACATGCAAACTCCACACAGAAGTCTCTTTTCTCACAGAGGTCTCTTTGTCACCATGATTTTGTCAAGCAACCAGCCGCTCCAGGAAGTCATTGCTCTAGGCTGCTGTTGATGATTGTAAAAGAGCTCTGTGAAAAACAACTGATACTCCTAAAATCACAATGACTTGTTTTCTATTTGTACACCTGCTTAGCCAGCAAGATGAGAACATACCAAGATTCAAGAATACTAAATATATATCAATATTAATGTTTTCATGTCACTCTCTTGATCATTGTTGTAAAAAATATCTGTTGTGGGAAATTGGGAATGTCTTTGACTGTATATTACTGTAGTTCTTCTGTATATCTGCTCATGGATCTCTTCCTTTCATACAGTTACTGTGGAGTCGACTGGCATCCTGCCTCCAGATGTCCTAGTCACAGAAGCCATCAAAGTCCTCATGGCCAAGTGTCAGAGGTTTCTTAATGAACTGGACTCTACCGACATGGAAGTAAAGTAAAGAAGTAAAGACGGAGCATGCTCAGAACAACCACAGGATCTGATATTTAGATATGCCACAGTCTATCAGGGCATATATTGTTGATACTGAGCTCTCAATGGCTCTCAAGGCTGTATTATTAAAACCTATAGTGAAGTTTCAAAAAGCAGATAGTGGTTAGACTTGCTCATTAGTGTGTGTGGAACTGCTGTCTCTGTGTGTACACTCTATTATGTATGCCACTCTTTATTTTCCCTAAATAAACATGCCGAAGCTTCTAAAAACATCATTAATTATTGGTTATTATTATTGGTGATGAGGCAGGCCTTCACACAATCCATCACCGCACAATACATGTAGTCCAGCAGAAATGTGAAATATCTGATGGAATTGTGCTTTTGATGATTAAAAACATGAGCTTTGGCACCCTTTTAGAGCATCCCCTAAGGAAGATTTTTGGCTATAGGGCCATCGCATACAGTATCTCACATAAGTGAGTACACCCCTCCCATTTTTGCAAATATTTCATTATATCTTGTCATGGGACAACACTATAGAAATGACACTTTGATATAATAAAGGTGATGGACTGGCCAAGTATGTATCCAGCCCTAAACTCACCTGTGCACCTGTGGGGCATCCTCAAGCTGAAGGTGGAGGAGCACAAGGTGTCTTCACATCCATCTGCTCCGTGATGTCATCATGGAGGAGTGGGAGAGGATTCCTGAAGCAACCTGTGAGCTCTGGTGAATTCCATGCCCAAAAGGGTTAAGGCAGTGCTAGATAATAATGGTTGGCACACAAAATATTGACACTTTAGGCACAATTTGGACATGTTCACCGTGGGGTGTACTCACTTATGTTGCCAGCTGTTTAGATGTTGATGGCTATGCTTTGAGTAATTTTCAGAGGAAGGTAAATCTATACTACTATGCAAGCTGTACACTGACTACTTTAAGTTATATCAAAGTGTCATTTCTATAGAGTTGTCCCATGAAAAGATATAATGAAATATTTGCAAAAATGGGAGGGGTGTACTCACTTATGTGAGATACTGTATCTGTCCAATGGCAGCCATTTCCAAAATGGCCGCCACCTGTTGTTATTTTACTAGTAGCTTAGGTTCGTGACCACCTAGGATCTTGATTCTGGTGGCTAATCCTACATTTTCAAGGATGAGGAATGCAGTGGTACTATTTACAACATGCTAGAAACTACCTTTCTACATGCATCTGGCATTCATGTGTTGCACACTTGGACAGAGCGGACTTCCAGGCATGCATACGGTTAAAAGAATGCCTTTTATTCTTCCTCTGAAAATACACAAACACAAGCACAAATGAATAACGTGGGGGCGTGCTGCAGGCTAGGGATACTGAACAACTCGGGTATCTCCTTGTATCCTACATAAAGGACCTCCAGGCTGCCCCAAGTGCCTGTATGAGCTTTACTCACTATAACCACAAGTTAATCTACCAAAGCATTAAAGTTGATATTACCAGTGAAAGTATACATCAGCTCATGAGTGTACAAAATTATAACACACAATAATAAAAATAATAAAAGGGGTATGGGGGGTGTCTAGTGTCCATAAATATGTTAACATTACTGTGGGCTCCACACATGGAACTAATTAATAGTAAAACCATCAAATATTAGCGGAGTTACACATATTTTCCTGAATTACAGAATCAGTTGTGTGCAGACCTCATATGTTTATCTGTATGTATCTATTTTAGAGCACAACCCAATGAGGAATGCAGTGGTATTATTTACAACATACTAGCAACTACCTAACTACATGTATCTGGCATTCAGTGAATGAAATAACAGTAAACAGTGGTTTAAATGATCAACATAATTATTATTGAAGTTATACCTGTTCCATGGTAATAGTAATGTTACTTCTGAAAACACAGTCCATCACAGTGGCAAAGGGCAGTGCAGTGAAGTGCTGCCTAGATACATTTGCACTGCACTGCACCGTTTTTCCACATCCACAGTGGAGGAGTTCGCAACAGGCCTGGGTCGCCTCTGGTAGTGTGGTCCAGTGAACTTCCCATCCACCTGTGGCCTTCCTCTTCCACCCCCAGTCATTTTAGGATGGGAGTTCAGGGGCTGCACCCATCATCTGTCCCCAGCAATAACCAGCTTGGTAGGCAGCCCTCTGTGTGCTGAATTAGTGCTGCTTGCTTCTCCAGGTCATTGCTGTACTCAGTGTAGGCCTTCTGTAGGAGAAGATATAGGCAGCTGGCTGTGACCTGATGAGCATGTCGGGTACTTGTCACATGAGAGGCTTTCAGAAAGGAATCTGCTGTTCCAGGAGTAGCAACTCCAGCTTGTACAAGTGCTCCTGTCCACCCGCTACCCTCCATCCTGTCCACCCGCTACCCTCCAGGAGGTTGCCAAGTACCTTGAGCGCTGCCATCTCAATGTGAAACCCACCAATCATCACAAGTGATCCTCATCGTGAGTTGCTGGCCAGCTCCACTGGATTTGTTTTGCCACTGTGTACAGAGGTTGATCCTGAGTGATGATTGGTACCTGACCAGGATTCAGAATCTCCACTGCCTGCTTCACTACATCAATGGAATGGTGAATCATAGCAACAGATTTTGTCTCATCGTAGAAAAGGAGAAGTTTAGAAGTGAGTGTGACACTGCTTTCTGGTATTGCATTTGGTGGTTGGAGGCTAGCATGGTGTGCAGCCCACGAGATGGTTTCATCCCCTTGGAGGGTGTCAGCAGCCAGCACAGTCTGCATTTGCTCAAGCCACCTATGAAACACAAAGTGCAGATAGAGATGCTGTATTAATTCATTAGCGTGGTACTAGTTTAATTTGTGTGATAGTAGTCATTGTGTTTAACTGGCGCAAGCATTGTTAATATACAGTTACATGCTGGCACTCTTTCTGCATGGCTTGAGGCATCAGCTGACAGTCTGCTTTGTCGGGTCCTATGACCTTTGGTACAAGAGGATCCTGTCTGAGCAGAGCAACAGGGGGCACAGTGGTGTACATGTCTGGCAGTTGAGCTGCCTTTCTCTTGGGATCTCTTTGAGTGTTGTCTGGATTGGTAGCAACATTTTGCTGCACCCCAGTGAAAGCATCGCTTGGATGTTGGAAGAGGGAGATCCCAGTTCCATGGAACGAGTCATGTGCACTAGTACAATTGGGATTGTGCTCAATATTGTACACTGCAGCAGTTGAAAACAGGCCCTTGAGCTGAGGAGGACAAAGTTTTTTCTACCTCATAGTGATGACAGATCTTATTTCCAAGTTCTTTGGAGATGTCGAGCACCCGATCATATGAAATGCACAGTCCTAGGTCAAAGAGCAGTGTTTCCGCTACATTCATTTAGCAGCAGCGGCACGGCAGGGTGTAGTGAGGAGAGCAGCGGTGAGGGGAAGGGGGAGTGGGGGAAGGCTCCTATTTAGGGATGCACTGAATATATTCGGCTGAAAATTGCAAAAAAAAAACCACATTCGGTATTCGGTGGAATAAGTGAAAAGCAAGGCTGAATAATAGCCGCGTGTTTTGATAATGCAATCAAACAGCGTGCAGTGACGGACAGAGTAAAATGTCTGCAGCGTGGCGATATTTTACTCCGTCCGTCACCGCACTCACATTTGCGACTAAAAATAGTTTTGTGCGGGCAAAATAAATCATTCAGCACGCTATGTGAGTACAGATTTCAACCAGCAGCAGAAATGAAACGGCGAATCCCGCCGGTTGTGGGTTGGACGGGGGTCACAGACACGGACAGGTATACGTATTCCTGTCAAATACGGCGGCGCATGATAACAGCTTACCGGCGACGGAGAAGTCAGGCTCCAGGTGAATAACTTGTTGTCATGACTGCCCAAAAGTACCTGAACAGCCGAGCCATGGCGGCACATAGTATGTGGCGTATCAGAGGAGAAACGAGCCGTTCACACTTCTCTCTTTGTGGCAGGTAACGGCCCACAAACCTCACCGCACTTAAGGGACTGTTCTTTACTTATGAAGGAACTTGTCAGGGGAGGAGGGTGGCTGGTTGATTTTTATTTCATTTATTTATTTTATTTTGATCCCCCCTATGTTAATCACTTATTGATGCTGTTTTTGAAGTATGAATAAGTCAGTAAGTAATTTATTCCATTGAAATATCATTGATGTATTATAGAAAAGTGATTTATCTTTTTATAAATGACAAAAGGCACATCTGCCTCATTTTTGCTGCGGTATCCTGATACTACTCAGAACCGTGATACTTTCACTGATATCGTACCGTGGGTCCCAATTTTGGTACCGTGACAACCCTAATCTGGAGGGGGTTCATCTGCAAAAACTAATGAAAAACTAAAAAATGGCATTCGGTATTCGGCCAAGAGTTTAATATTATTCGGCTTCGGCCACAAATTTTCATTTCAGTGCATCCCTACTCCTATTGGAATTGACGTTATTCGCGGGATCTTGAAAGTGACATCATCACTGGAGCACCAGGTCAGAGTCTGTCGTCTTGAAGAATAGGGCAGCGAACCAGAGAAAAGAAAAAGGTAGATTTTATTAGACACATTGCTCAATTTTTCATTTGTTATTATTTAGTTTGTTATGTGGAGTCCATGATTTCCCCGTGACACTTACAAATGTATGCATAACTGTGCTTGGATGTTGTTTTATGAGGCTGTGGCAGCTTTCAGTTGTCTCATTGTGTTTAACATTACACAGCTTGGCTTTCTCTCACATGCATCTTTCGTACTTGTCCCTGTGCTGTCTCAAGTGCTGATGTAGATTGGTCGTGTTGCCACAGGACATGGCGACTTTAACTTTTAAACTTTTACACAGCACGTTTTTCTGTTCAACATCGCTGTACCTGAATCCAAAGTATTGCCATATAATAGACATTGCGAGTTTTTCGCCACCAACTCAGCCTGTTCATGGTCGTGCTCACGCTCTTCTTCAGCGTCTATGTTGGTCACTGCTGCACTCCGGGTGGTCACCTGACCATACGTTCTGCACACACCAGGATAGCTTGTGGGCGTAATGTCAACAAACTCCACACACTACAGGAGAGGTAGTTATGTTCATAGGCACACATGTACACATTTATTTACATTAAATCGCAAATCGCAGCCTTTTATGTGGTTATGTAAACGTGACATCGCAATTGCGATTGCGATTAGATTAATCGTGCAGCACTACTTGGAACACATGTGATGGGGCGTGTACACTCCACCAAACTCAAGAACAGAATACTGAGTTACTTCCAAGACATGGATGCTCACAAGCAAAGTTGTGATGTAGTGTG